TCCATTAAAAAAAAAAAAAAAAAAAAAAAAAAAGTTAAAGACACTTCTGAGTAATCATTTCATTTCAGAGGCTTAAAGTTTAAGAACTCTCTGACTTTTAGCTTTTTACTTTGTAACTTTTGAGCAGGCTATCCCTTGTTCGGATACTTTCTGATGGAGGTGCTCTCTGCACACTGACTGCAGAGCAGTGCATTCCTCCAGCATCCAGCTTATGTGTGCCTCTGAGTGCACGTGCACATGTGTCTGGGGAAGTGGGGACAGGTTTCTCACGTGGAAGGACTGGACAAGTGAAGGAGGCCCTGGGCGGGCAGTTGGAGGCCTTGTTCTGGCCAGACTCACAGGCTGAGGCTGTGAGTGAGTCACTTCAGTCCCCTGGCATCAGTTTCCGCATCTAGACAGTGACTGTGCTGGCCTCTGCCCTCCCCACTGGCACTTGAGCCCTCTGTGCTGAGGATGGGATGAGTCAGAGCAAAGGAGGTTAACGCTTCAGGCTCACTCAGGAGCTTACCCCCTTTCCCAGGAGCCCCAGGGATGGAGCAGATTCTCAGCTTTGCCTCCTTCTGGTCCTGGCAGACACCCAAAGATCAAATCCTTCGTCACTGGAGGAAGGCCTCGCAATACAGTGGAAAGGGCTTTGGAGCCAGGCCTCCTGGGTCCAGTTCTGCCTTTGCCACTCACTTGCTGTGTGTCTCAGGAATGTTCTTTAATGTAGAGGCTCCATGCGTGCGAAATGGGGATGGTAACAGCCACAACTATATTTTGTGAGATGTCAACCAACGCTATAAGTGGTTGTGCCTAACCCATAGCTGGGTTTGATATACAGGAATAACTAGTTATTATGGTTTTCTCATCACTCACCATTGCACTCAGCACCCGGCCAACATACTGGGGGTCGTCTCTGTGGGCCACATCAGTAGCAGGGTCACGGCGAAAATTCAGACTATTATCCAGCAGAGAGAGGCAAATGTTCAGAATGCCTTCTTCAAACTGTTCAAAATGGGACCATATGTTATGATGAAAGAAATGACAAATAGTATCAGCTTATTGAAGGTGTGGGAGCTACACTGGTAAGAACCATGGGCTCTGCCCAGATCCTTCCACTCCACAGCCTCCAGAGCTGAGAGAATCTGAGGAACAACCACCCACCTTGGGCTTTAACCCTGCAAACTCATCCAGAGCTCTCGCTCTACACAAGGCCTTGCACTGAGGCCCCTAAATTTAATGGCACTCCCTCACTGTTATGAACTTGAGAGCAATCACTTGGCCTGTCTGGGCCTCAATTTGTCCATCTTTATAACAGGGGATCAGACTGAGCTCATCTCAAAGTTTCCATCCAGATCTGACATTGATCTTGAGCATATTACTCAGACTTTGGGGGAACTGATTAAAAAGATAAAATGTCTCATTAAATTGGAATTTGAAGCCATTTTCACAATATTTTGTGAAAGTCTTATTAGACTTTTGTCATTGCTTCTCAAATGGATAAGGCCAAGCTCTTTCTTGCCTTATAGGGTCTTTGCATGTGCAGTTCCTTCTACCTCCAGTGCTCTTCCCCAAGAGATCTATCTGGCTCCTTTGCCTCCTTCAGGTTTCTGATCAAAAGTTCTTTTCTAAGAGAGGCTCAGCCAGATCTCGTCCTTCAAAAATATCTTCTCTTCCATCCCCGGGTGCACCTTATGCCCTTACCCACCCCGCTCCACTTTCTTTTTGAATGAAATTTAACACAGAACCCAACATATAAAACTCAACATATAAAATATATGGCAGATGTGCTCTGGTTGACTACAGAATGGGGTCTGGACATGGCAGAGAATGCACCTGTCCACCCCCTGCTGGACATGCAAGGTACCCCACCCAAGGCGCTTCATTGTAATGTCTTCATTTGTCTACTGGAGAAAAGAAAAGGTGGAGGGAATCCCTGGATGTTTTTTAGGCTGAGCAAACCTGGGAACTCTGTGGACTCAGATGTCATACTAATGAAGGACCTTTGAAAGGTCGAATGCACACACCAAGGAAGCTTCCTCACATTCTTACCTAGAATGAATAACAGAAACTACATTATTGTCCCAAGTGTCTCTACTGGGCCTTATCCTCATTTGTGCATCATGGTACCAATAACACTTCATTGCATCAAGTTAGTTATGTGTCTGTTTTGCCCACTAGATTGTGACCTCCTCAAAGACAGGAAATCTGTCTTATCCATCTCCTGTATCCATAGTGTGCAGCTTGGGGCCTGGCACATAGTAGGTCATCAGTAAATGCCTTCTGAATGGATGAATGAACAGAAGGCAGGCGAATGGACAGATTTGGGAACTTCCACCTATCTGTGGGGCCAGCGGCTGAGCTTCTTGGGTATAATAGGGACATTACCACCAGGCTTTATGATCTTTTTACCTGTCCATAGTTCCAGCCAATCAGGCTAATGTAACTTGCTCTTCCCATGAAGATGACGCCAGCATCTTCCTGAACATACTCCTCTCTCTCATCATGGTTACTCATAAAGACACTATCATCTGTTTGACACAAAAAGCAGATATTAGGGTTTATAGAGAGGACTATAGAGACCAGTCATCCTCTCAGTCCTGAGTATCCTCCTGGGGGCTGGAGCAAGCCCCACCTGCAACCCTTCATCCAACCTCCACTGAGGAGTGAAGCCTTGGGCTATAATGCTTCCACCTCATAGTACGGGAACTATGAGTTTGAAAAAGAAGCTGGGATGACCTGAGAATCTGAAAATGAGACCCTTGGGAGTGAAACACTTGCTTCTTCAGGCACAAGCTATCTCCACACTGCAGAATTGTGCTGTGGTCATTACACCATACTATAGAGTTTTCAAAAGCCCATGACATCCCTGCAATAGCTCCAGAAATAGCAGGATGTCCATTTAATGGTGAGGAATTTGATGCTTAGAAGGGTAGAGTGACTGCCAGACACACAAAGTTGGTTAAGTGGCAGAGCTGGACTCAAACCCCTGGCTTCTGACTTCTAGCTTCTGTGCTGTTTCCATATTCCAGAAACTCCCTAATCAAACCTGAGCCCATGAAAATCATTCCCCCCATCTCCTTTCCATAGGCATCGCTTAGCTGATGGCTGGGAGTGTGGGTGGCTAGGTGCCTACCTTGCAACCAGGGGTTAAAGAGCAATATGAATGTTCCAAGTATAAGAGTGGAGTCATTGCCCTCGGAGGAGATCTGAATGCTCAGCGTGTATCTTCCTATAGGTGCATTGGCAGGACTGAGGATGGAGATGCTCGCAACATCGTTCTCGTTGCGCAGAAGTTGTGCACCCCAGCCAGTGCCACTTATCCTGTTGGAGAGTGGAAACACAGCCTTTGTCTTGGCCGACTCTGAGGGGTAAGGCCCTGTAAAAGAAGGCATAGGACAATGGAAACCAAGTAGTGTTGGCCAGGCTGTGGGGAGAAACCAGATTCCAATGTAACTGCTGGGGCCCTTTGGGAGACATCATACAATGAAGGATTGTGTTATGGCACTGGAAGCATCTGGAGAGACCACGTGGGCCAAATGCCTCTTGATGTGAAGACTGTGACCCTCAGACTCAGAGACAGGCAGAAACTTGCTCAAAGTCACACCAAGTCGATGGTAGAGCTGGGCTAAAGCCCAGGGCCACCACCACCACCAACCCTTAGATGCACAGCCCCAAGGTCTACTCAGATGTGTGTTGGCTGGGGGAGCAGGGAGCAGGTACCTGTGGAAGCTGTGAATGTCACACGTCTGGAACAGCTGAGACATGGGTATAAGGTCAATGACATGTAGATGAGTTGGCCTCTCCGCACGATAAGCTCCTGGCTGGAGAACTTGTCTGTGTGATGTGCCTGCTCATTGAAGCTTATCTGCCAGTCGACACTCTGGAGTTCTAAAGCCGTGAGACAGAAAAGAAGACTTGAGATCCTCAGAGGCAAGGGATGGTGGTGTGGGGGAAAAAGTATAAGTTACCAAAGAGACTGCTTTTGGACAGGGCTTGCTGGGGAAGAATCTTCTAGGAAGAATCACATTAAAATGCAAGCATAGCAAGCACTTTGCAACTTATTGCCATCTGCCTTTTCAGGCTGCTGAAGCTCTGCACATACTAGTCCCACTTCCCCCTCCACCTGGCCAACTGTCACTCAGCTCTCAAAGAACTAGCTTCACCCAACCGACCAGGAGAACTGAGTAACCAGTTCTGTCCACTTTATCCTCCTTCCTCTGTGGATGGGGGCTCACGTAGAACTGGGGGGAGGCTACTTCTCTCGAATCCACCACCCTGGTTTGGCTTCCTTGCTTTTTCCTTTGTGTCTTCCCAGATACCGGCCGTCTTCTATCACTCCAACACCCAGCAAACATTTAGCTGTGTCATCTGTACTTTATATGTGCAACACCTCGGTGTTGGCCTGGGCATCTGATACTGAGGAGGATTGTGTAACCCTGACAAGCATTTCAAGGCTGGAGATTGGGCAATCACTGGCCTGGAAGGTCTTTCAAATGCTCACTGGCAAGAGTGGTCTAAGGCCGTGAGATCCCTGGATAAGACCCTGAGGATTAACACTTCAAAATCCACCTCCAAACTTCTCAGGTGATTGTGGAGGTGAGGGAGCTAAGCTGAGAAGGATTTCAGAGAAGAAAGATTCCAGGAGATATGAGGAGTTTAGCCGATTTAAACCTTTTGAGATATTTAATTCCTTTGAGTTACATTTGAGATGTTCACCACCCATTCTTCTGCAAATGAAAGTGGTCTCTGTCTTTATGATGTGGCCATAGCTATGATGGGAGTGGAGTAGCCCATCCCAGCACCAGGCACAACTCTTGTTTATAGGTGTCTGTCTGTGTTCATCAGAATGTGCCTTCTTGAACTTTATATTCTGATGCCTAGCACATTGCTTGACTGTATTAGGACAGTTAGACAAACAACTGAGGGAATAAATGAGCAAACAAACATAAAACTAATGTCATGCAATGACTATCATGACTAGAGCTCTAAATTTAGTCTATAAGGAAAGGTATATATGGGGTATTCATTCAATAAACATATAGAGAATACATATTATTTATAGAACACTATGTAAAGCACAATGTTGGGCGTGTGAAAATGTATGAAAAGTAGTTTGAATCCTCAGAGAGCTTCAGGAGTGCATAAGACAACATGTCAGAATGAATGGTGGAATGAGGTAAATCCAATCTCCCCCAAAAAAGGTGTCTAGGAGATGTGGGTAAGAATCACTTTCAGTTATAGGGATCAGAAAAAATTCATTGAAAATGCTGGGCCTTGAAGGAAGAGAGAATTTTGTCAGGTGCATTCCAGACAACAGGCAGAGAGGCCCAAGGCCCAGGAGAGCAGGTGTCTCATTTGGCTAGAGAAAAGGCTTTGCACAGAGGAGAAAGGGGAGGCAGGGAGGGCGTGGCTCCAGGGTGGGCCTGGGGCTGGGGGCTCCCATCCAAGCAACTCCGGAGATGGGCAGAGGTGGGTAAGAGACACTCTCTTGAGTAGGACGCAGACTCGGGTGATGAGCCAAAGGCTGCTGCTGAAGCAGGGCTCAGGAGGTAATCTCACCTCCACTTGGAGTACTAAAGATTCATTCATTCAAATGCCCACTTGTTCATTCATTCATTGAACAAATGGTTATTGAAAGAATAAATTAAGTTTTTTTTACTCAGGAAAACTAAAACATTCATGCAATCAAAAATATCTATTGAATGAAGGGCAAGGCAAAGGGAGAGAAGGTGGGACAGAAGAAGATGAATGCTCCTGTATGTAGACATTGAATGGCGACAGCTCAGATCTCAGGCACCCTCTGGCAAACATCAAGCTCTACATGACTTGCAGAGAGCTGGTTTGCTAAAGGCTAGGACTCTTTAGGGCAACGTCCCCACCTTTTAAACCCCTGCCTCTTACGAACTGTGCTCACTGCCTTCTGTGCATGGAATTCGGTAGAGCTTTACTCACTGTCTCATTTTAGAAAAAAAGAAGAGCTCTTAGAAATGTGTGGTCTGAGGTCACACAAGCCTCCCTGGAGATTCTTCCCCGCTCCCAAACCCTAAAGGATATGTGCCTTCTCCCCAGGAGAAGCTTATTATTCTTGACCATGGACTCTTTGAGAGCAGCAATTATGTCCCCAGACAGCCCTCAGTCAAGCACAGGGGTGAGGAAAGAGGGGTGGCAGCGACTCCCATCTATAGCCAGCTTCTGCCTTCCCTCCAACAGGCCCACCTCCTTCTTTGCTGTGCCGAGGGTTATGCACTGTTTGCTATACTTGTGCCAAGAACGGAGGCGTCTCCACAAATAACAAGAGTGGGCGAGGATGTGGAGGAAAGGGAACCCTCCTACACTGTTGGTTTGGAATGTAAATTGGTGCAGCCACTATGGAGAACAGTACGGAGGTTCCTCAAAAACCAAAAGTAGAGTTACCATATGATCTAGCAATTCCACTCTTGGGTGTATATTTAAAGAATACAAAAATACTAACTCAAAAAGATACATGAACTCCAATATTCACAGCAGCATTATTTACAATAAAAAGACATGGAAGCAACCTAAATGTTCATCAACAGATGAATAACTAAAGAAGATGTGGTACGTATATACAATAGAATACTACTCAGCCATAAAAAAGAATGAAAATTTGCCATTTGCAACAACATGGATGGACCTGAAGGGTATTATGTTTAGTGAAATAAGTCAGATAGAAGACAAATACTCTATATTATCACTTATATGTGGAATCTAAAATAAAAAATGAAACGAATGAATATAACAAAACAGAAACAGATTTACAGATAGAGGGAACAAACTATAGTTACCAGTTGGAGGTGGGGGGACAAGAAAGAGTTAGGGGATTAAGAGGTACAAAGTACTACATGTAAAATGAATACATTACAAGGATAGACTGTATAGCACAGGAAATACAGCCAATATTTTATAGTAACTTTAAATGGAATATAATCTATAAAAATATTGAATCACTATGCTATATACATGAAACTAATATAATATTGTAAATCAACTACACTTCAACTTAAAAAAGGATTTGTATGAAAAAAAGATGAATCAACATGCAAAAGTACACACAGCCAGTTTACATAGGTTTGCTTAAGTCCTGAAAAATAAAACAATTCTAACTATCAGAAAAATAGTAGCGATGTCTCCCTTTCATGCCAGAATGCAGTGGCTTGTCTGCAGGGAAAATGAAGAAGACTGAGCTCCAGGGTGCCTTGGCTGCAGAGACACCGAAAGGAGACGAAGGGCACTTTGCGTGGACTAGGGGAAGTCCTGGGGTGACTGAGATGGTCACCTCTGCCTCTCCCAGCATGAGCCCCGGCATGAAGGAGTCTTGCTCCTTCATGGGGTGCTCGTGGGACATGCAGGGCTTCTCTGAGCTGGAGGGTGAGGAAGAGCATGACACATTTGTCATCAGTCTCCTATGTGTCAACTGCTCTTAACAGTACACAGAGCACCCCTTCAGGTGCGGGGAGGAGGGGCACCTGAGCCCTTACTGCCGGAAGGGCATCGTGTGTAACCTTTGTGGCAAATGAGAACACGCCTTTGCCCAGTGTCCCAAAGTGGTTCACAATCCCGTGGCAGCTCAGCTAACCGGCGTGGCTGGGCACTGAACACCTGCCTGCCTGCCAGGGTGAACACAGAGCCAGCTTACCCCTCTTAAGTGCCAAACCTTTTTTTTTTTAAACCATTTTTTATCGTTTTTGAAAGAGATCAATGTTTGTTGAATTGAGAACATTGTTAACCCTGGCTTCTGTCAGGGTGTCTATCTTTTGCAGCTCATCCCGTCCCCTTTTAATTTGCTGCTTCTAATCTCTGTGGTCTGAGAGTTTGTGAAACCAGTGTTGTTAGAAGTGTATGTAACCTGAGTCAACAGGCTCTGAATGGTAGCCAAGGGCCTCTCTTATGGCATTAAAATGCATGGACTTTGTGACAGCGCTTTCAGTGGCTCAGAAGCCATTCTTCAAAGAATCATGGAATTGAATCTGGAATTTTCCTGCTGGAAAGGACCTAAAAATTGGTCTAGACCAATCCACTGGTTTTCCAACAGATGAAACAGGACCAGAGAGGTTAAATGACTGGGTCAAAAATCACATAGCTGTCTGGTGCCAGAGCTAGCCTAGAGTAGAGTTCCCTGACCCCAAGCCTGGTGCTCATTCCACTACCTCTCACACCCCACAACATTTTCCTCAACACTTGAGGGCCCAGAAAGTCTGCTCTTTCCAGAATAATAAGCCCAGGGGAATGCTAAGAAATCATCTGGGGAAGGAAGCAGAAGATTTGGCAGGAGCTTCAGAATACTTGGGAGATACGGAAGGGACAAAGGAACATAATCCAGGGTGTACTCATTGCCCCCTGGGGTACCATATCTGGATTAACGTGGCCCCACTTCTTTGTGGCCTTCCCCTTCCCCGTTCATTGCCATCAGTGAGAAATAGAGGTGTTCCTGAGTAAAGAAAGGTTTGCATTTGCATCTTAGCCTCAATAGCTAGTGTCCCCAGAGAAGCAGCTGACTGGAGCTCATCTGCAACCTCCGGACTCTCAGGAGAAAGATGGAATTCCAAGGGAGCTGTTAACTCTGAAATGTATTTGGGAAATAGGCCAAGCTAGAGGGCATTGGGTCTACTAAGTGTTATCAAGTTAAAATAGAAAAGACAGTACACTGCTTTTCTTTTAACTTTTGTCTTTCCTTTATGTTTTGCTATTTCCTTGTGGCTTAGAATGTAAAATCGATTGTTTAAAGTTTTGTTCTGAATAAATATTTACCTTTTGTATTGCTAAAAAAAACCCCCAAAAACAGTACACAGAACACCTTACACCTGTCATCGATGAAATCTTACAGAAACTGCAAACTGAGGGGGGGATTAGCAGATACACACTACTATATATAAAATAGATAAACAACAAGGTCCTACTGTAT